TCCGTGACCTTGCTCATATCCCGATCTGCTTGTATGCTGAGTCAATTTTCCTCATTTAAATTAATTGAAATGCCATTAATCCGTTCCAGTGGAATTCCTGCTCAGGAGGCAGGACAAAATACACTTCAATATAATACTAATATCAACTCTGCAGCTTATTTATCTATCACAATTCATCTAATATGACATGAAAAATAATATAAATAACATAGAAACCTGATATATACTCTGGAATGAATAAAATACGTATGTCATTATGTGAGAAATGGAGGCGGACATTCCCGCTCCCTCTGCGAAAACATCTTCCCATGCTTCCCCTTCTGAGGTGTTATTATAAGAGAAAATGGAGTGTTTCTGAGGCTAACTGCATTAGATCTCTAGTTTCATAAGGAAAACATGACGTAAAGAAATAAACTGGTGCATGTACACCATTTACCTTGGAGAAGAGATGCTGGCGAAGGTTGACGGTGGGAATGATAGGCAGAGCGGCTATGCTGTCAGGAGTTCATTTCATTTCATCCTTTTTCTATTGCTTAATCACTTAACTTAATTGCTACGCTCTTAATGCTACACTCTTAATGCTACACTTTATCATTGAACTTAACTGCTACAATTTGTTTTTTTTATTTTTTCTCACTTCACTGTTCACTGATTTTTGGCTTTTTCTCCACGCTTTTCACTTTCATCTACAGGGTGTTTCAATAAAAAACTGTCTAAGGAGGTTCGTTTCTTCTTCTCGTTCAGAATTTTTCAGAAATAAGTTACGCAAGTGTCATTAAGCAGCTGCAACACATAACCAGTTAAAGCTTTCTCTGGGTGTTTCCTTTAAATAAAGTCTGAAAATGCTGGTACTCCCTGGTCAGGGAGTACCAGCATAGCACTTCTATGTTATGTACAATACTAAAGCAGAAGGAGTCTATGAAGACTATGTTGCCAGCAAAGGGTGTCACAGAATTTCTAAGCAGTGGACCTCTGTCCATGAAAAGATGGAGAAGCTGCTGTTGATTTGGTTGATGGAGAAGCAGCTTGCAGAAGATACCGTGACTGAGGGTATCATCTGCGAGAAGGCACGAGGCATTTATGCTGATTTGCTGCAGAAGACCATAGGCTCTTCAATGGACGAGTTTAATGCCAGTCAGGGCTGGTTCGAAAAGGACCGACATTCACTCTGTTATCAGGCATGTTAAGGGAGTGAGCTCTGATGTGAAGGCAGCTGAGGATTTTCTCAAAACTTTGGCAGAAGTGATAGCAGCTGAAAGATACATCCCTCAGCAAATCTTCAACTGTGACGAGACAGGGGTCTTCTGGAAGAAGATGACAAGGAGGACTCACATAACTGCAGAGGAGAAGAAGATGCAAAGCCACAAACCCATGAAGGATAGCTTTACCCTCACACTGTGCATCAATGCAAGTTGCGACTGCAAGATCAAGCTGCTGCTGGTATATCATTCAGAAAACCCCAGAGCCTTTAAGTCGCATAAGATTCTAAAAGAAAAATTGCAGGTTATGTGGAAGGCAAACTCGAAGGCATGGGTCACCAGGCAGTCCTTTGTGGAGTGGGCAAACCTGGTCTTTGGTTCTGCTGTTAAGATGTATCTCCAGGAAAAATAACCTACCCCCTGGAAGGACCACTATAACATCATGATATGCCTCAAAATTATAAATATGGCCTGGCAGGGTGTTACAAGGAGGGCCTTGACCTCTACATGGAAGAAGCTGTGGCCTGAGAGTGTGTCCAAAAGGGACTTCAAGGGATTCAAACCTGATGTGGCAGTGGTGGAGGAGATTGTGTCCCTCGGAAAGGTATTAGGCATGGAGGTGGATGACGAAAATGTGAACAATTTCATCGACGAGCACTCCGAGGAGCTGACAACAGAGGAGTTAGATGAACTGCATATGCATCAGCATCAGGAGGTTTTGCAGGACATTCATACTGCGGAGGCACCAGATGTGGAGGAGGATATCTCTACAAGTGAGATAAAGGAAAGTTGGGAATCTGGGAGAGATTTTCAGACTTTATTTAAAGGAAACACCCAGAGAAAGCTTTAACTGGTTATGTGTTGCAGCTGTTTAATGACACTTGCGTAACTCATTTCCGAAAAATTCTGAATGAGAAGAAGAAACGAACCTCCTTAGACAGTTTTTTATTGAAACACCCTGTAGATGAAAGTGTGAAAAGCGTGGAGAAAAAGCCAAAAATCAGTGAACAGTGAAGTGAGAAAAAATAAAAAAAACATATTGTAGCAGTTAAGTTCAATGATAAAGTGTAGCATTAAGAGTGTAGCATTAAGAGCGTAACAATTAAGTGATTAAGCAATAGAAAAAGGATGAAATGAAATGAACTCCTGACAGCATAGCCGCTCTGCCTATCATTCCCACCGTCAACCTTCGCCAGCATCTCTTCTCCAAGGTAAATGGTGTACATGCACCAGTTTATTTCTTTACATCATGTTTTCCTTACGAAACTAGAGATCTAATGCAGTTAGCCTCACAAACACTCCATTTTCTCTTATAATAATACCTCAGAAGGGGAAGCATGGGAAGATGTTTTCGCAGAGGGAGCGGGAATGTCCGCCTCCATTTCTCACATAATGATATACGTATTTTATTCATTACAGAGTATATATCAGGTTTCTATGTTATTTATATTATTTTTCATGTCATATTAGATGAATTGTGATAGATAAATAAGCTGCAGAGTTGATATTAGTATTATATTGACGTGTATTTTGTCCTGCCTCCTGAGCAGGAATTCCACTGGAACGGATTAATGGCATTTCAATTATTTTAAATGAGGAAAATTGACTCAGCATACAAGCAGATCGGGATATGAGCAAGGTCACAGAATGGATTAAACTCGTAAGCCGAGGTTCCACTGTTCAAACTTTACTAACATCAGTGATTATACTATAAGCTGCTGGGTTATGAAGAACATGCAATTGAACAAGATAACAATGAGCAGCTTGATGTTTTTAAATGAGGGAACAAACTCTACAAAAGTCTTTGAATTGATAAAGAAAAGGTGCCAAAAACAAATGCATCCTAGATAAATAAACATAATTGAATGATGACTGACGCCGACTTCAAAATGCCTTATAAATTAAGGTTGTATGAGTATTAAAATTTGCTAGTGATTCCCAGGTAAAATAAAAATTTTAAGTGAATAAGTCAGTTAGACAAAAATTTATTAATTCATGACTTACTAAATAAAAGTGACGCCAGAAATTAAAGGTGGCGGTGTAAGGGATCACTCAAGGGAGAGTAAAATATGAGTTCTGTCAAGTGATATACTATCTGGAGAGAGTACAAGATGGAGTGAGAGTGTGCTAAATTATAATAATACCGAGGAAAGTAACAAGATGGTGAATGACATCCAAGTAAATAAACTATCTGGTTGTAGCGAGTACACAAGTGGTGATTAAGTGTCTAGGTTAATAATTACCTGGGAAAGTAAAGAATGAAACGTGCCTGAATATTTGCAATTATAACAAATAATGTCATTAATGATAATAATAACCTGGAAATACAAGAGTGAATGACAGTGTGCCAAGTGATAAAATCGCAATAGAAAGTCGGAGTTCTAAAGTGTATGATAGGTAATAATATTTGGGGAACGTACAAGATGTAAATTACGTGTACCAAATTATCATTCATTATTGATAATACCAAATTTGGAAGACATGAAAATTAACTTAAGAGGGACTAGTTTGAACTCAGTGTACATGGACACTTACTGTTTGTTCAAGCACACAATGACAAATGTTTTAATTAACAATCTTAAATCTGAGGGGTACTAGGTTAAAATTATTAATAGCTAAAAACAACAGTGTTGTGCTAAGATCTACACATTGGGAACACTCATAACATAGTCTAGTAAAAAACTGTTACTGACGCACTGTAGTGTTGCCTTTCATAAAGATTTACCAAATACTAATTGTCCTGGAGAGATTGAATTACCATATTATAAAATAAGCATGATGCCTAGTATTACCATCATCTGTCATAGAAATTTACCATGCACTGTCTGAAATTAATGACTGTTAAATGATTAGTTTTTTTAGTTTGAAAAAGAACCACAACCACCAAAATTTACTAAGAGAAGAACACAACTGTGGGTCCCAGTGTAATTTATTCCAGTAACACAATACAGTTCCTTAATAAATTATCAATAAAGCAGATATGTGATAGAAAACCAGTAACCCTAAAAAGTCAGACAGAGAATTAATTATGTCTTCTGTTACTTATTGATCAATTTAATTAAATAAAAATAATTGGCAGGTAAGAAATTATATAAAAAATACACAAAAACAATTATTAAAATATTGATATAAGAACTGATAAGTTGAAGCCACAAAATATAACAAATAATATTCCAAGAATACAAATAAAATTAGTCTTCATTTTAATTTAATTGATAAGCAAGTGGACAATAAAAATAGATTGAAATGGAGGGGGGTGGTAAAGTAATTTGAATTTTCATGTCTATGTGCAGTAACCCTAAACGAGGGTTGAAGGGACTTCCCTCTTGTTGGGACAGCCCTCGCAGCATTGCAAACGCAGTAGGTTGCAGGGGCAAACTCCATTTGCAGCTCATCATTCTACTAGTTTATCTTGATATAAGCAGTGCCTGCAAAAAATGCAACTTGTATCTTATATATAGGAGGGGGGTGGGTGGTCCTGAAGTCCGTGGTTTGGTTTTCCTTCCTATAACAGTATTTGTAAGTGGTGTAAACTTGCAGTGTTGTGTGTGCTTCTTTTGTAACATTGTGTTTGAACCTGAGATTTCAGCTGCATTATCTCTACAAACCTCCCTACAGTATTGTGTTGCAAATCTGCAAAGTCATGTGGCTGTGATTTGTGTTGCAATAAACATAATTAATGGTTATCATTTTCTTATAATGCTGGTGGGTTATGTCACCCACACTATAAAGAACCTAAACAAGCTTCTTCAGAGGTTCTTTTTTGTGTGTGGTCTCTTAACATTTTTTTTTTCTTCCCAGGAACATTGTAGGAGCAGAGATCATCATAGATCATTGATGGACCTATGAACTGGAAAACAAAGTCTTCCTGAAAACCAACAATGATGAAAAGACAATAAAATGACCGCAGCAATCTTCACCTGATCACATGAAGGTCGCTGCCTCAACAAAAGTCAACTAGAGGAAAGAACTGTATGGTATGCATGTGTTTGTATAGTCAAATCTCCTTTAAGACATAGAAATGTGTCCCATTGAAGCATCTAACTTCAGGAATAATAGACCCTACTGCTTAACAATTTTGTTAAAACCAAGGATTACACTGACTATTAAAGTCTATATAGTTGTCTGGGGGATGATGGTTCTCTTGGAACATGCTGTGTTTTAGCATCATTGTATTAAATTGTAGATGCAGTTCTGAGCCCACTGCAAGAATGCAAACTTCTTCTCTTATGCCTCGTAAATCATATGAAAGTCCTTGTTCATGCCTTCCTTTTCCAGGGTCGCAGCAGATGTTTCTGTTTCCGTGCCTTTTTGTTTGTAAAAGGCACGGAAGTTACCAGGTATGTAGTATTGTAGATTTCTATCTTTGTAATATTTATCCATGAGGCTCTTGTAGGATTTTAAAGCTTACCTGGTTGTTATAACTGGAGTTAGTGTGTAATATGTGGGATGAACTTGCATCCTATTTTGAATATCGCTTGGAGATATTTAGGACATTTAAAGTAAATGTAAATGACTAGAAGTTATCTGTTGGCCATTTTAGTATAACTTTGTTGGGTCATGACATAGGTTGTGACAAGTAAATTTGCCAAAGTTTTTGTTATTGAAAATTATCCATATGCTCTTGATTACAAGTTCCTGCAAAGATTATAGATTTGAAGAGGCTTTTAAGTGTGTTAAATGTCTCAAATGTGGTGCTGCCAGTAATTTGTTTTTTAGATTTTTAAAGGCTTTTGTTTCTTACAGGTTGATGAATATGATTTTGGAGTCTGGGGAGTCATAGCCAAGAAAAGGTAGCCAGAAGCAGTGAGTGGAAACCAGAGGCAGTGAGTGCAAACCTGAGGCAGAAAGTTTTAACTATAAAAGGAATCCTGTGGAAAGCTACCTGGTATGTAGTATTGTTTAATTGTTAAACTGAAGCAGATTGATGTCTTAGAAATATTTATGAAAGGTTACCTAGCTGTTATAATTGTAGTTGTTCATACGTGGGATGACCACGTGTCCTTTGTTGAATATCTGTTGGATAGGTTTAGGACATTTAAAGTAAATGTAAGTGACTTCAAGTCATGTGTTGGCCATTTGAGTACCAGTTTGTTGGGTCTTGAAGGTAGTGAGAAAGTACCATGTAAATTTGCCAAAGTGTTTATTACTGACAAATAAAAAACACTGCCTATGTGTGTCCCTCCCACCCCCTCTCTGCCTGTGTGTCCCTCCCCCCTTCTTCGGTGCCTGCGTGTGTCCCTTCCCATTCTCTGCCTGTGGCTGGCCATCCTCCTCATATGCCTGTGGGTATCCCTCCCTTCTCTGCCTGTGTGTGTGTATGTCCCTCCCTCCCCCTCTCTGCCTGTGTGTGTGTATGTCCCTCCCTCCCCCTCTCTGCCTGTGTGTGTGTATGTCCCTCCCTCCCCCTCTCTGCCTGTGTGTGTGTATGTCCCTCCCTCCCCCTCTCTGCCTGTGTGTGTGTATGTCCCTCCCTCCCCCTTTCTGCCTGTGTGTATGTCCCTCCCTCCCCCTCTCTGCCTGTGTGTGTGTGTATGTCCCTCCCTCCCCCTCTCTGCCTGTGTGTATGTCCCTCCCTCCCCTCTCTGCCTGTGTGTATGTCCCTCCCTCCCCCTCTCTGCCTGTGTGTGTGTCCCTCCTCTGCCCCCTCTGCCTCTGTGTGTCCCTCCCTCCCCCTCTCTGCCTGTGTGTGTGTCCCTCCCTCTGCCCCCTCTGCCTCTGTGTGTCCCTCCCTCCCCCCTTTATTTTCTTTGTTTAACACACCAGCCATCTCTCATCAAGGTAGTGGAGACTCACCACAACAAAAAGGAAGCACATTCACCATCATTCATTCTGTGATGACACCACAGTTCAGATGAACCTACCAACAACAACATCCTCACCAGAAGTGTGATGACACCACAGTTCAGATGAGCCTACCAACAACAACATCCTCGCCAGAAGTGTGATGACACCACAGTTCAGATCAACCTTCCAACAACAACATCCTTACCAGAAGTGTGATGACACCACAGTTCAGATGAACCTACCAACAACAACATCCTCACCAGAAGTGTGATGACACCACAGTTCAGATGAACCTACCAACAACAACATCCTCGCCAGAAGTGTGATGACACCACAGTTCAGATGAACCTACCAACAACAACATCCTCGCCAGAAGTGTGATGACACCACAGTTCAGATGAACCTACCAACAACAACATCCTCACCAGAAGTGTGATGACACCACAGTTCAGATCAACCTACCAACAACAACATCCTCACCAGAAGTGTGATGACACCACAGTTCAGATGAACCTACCAACAACAACATCCTCACCAGAAGTGTGATGACACCACAGTTCAGATCAACCTACCAACAACAACATCCTCACCAGAAGTGTGATGACACCACAGTTCAGATCAACCTACCAACAACAACATCCTCACCAGAAGTGTGATGACACCACAGTTCAGATCAACCTACCAACAACAACATCCTCACCAGAAGTGTGATGACACCACAGTTCAGATCAACCTGCCAACAACAACATCCTCGCCAGAAGTGTGATGACATCACAGTTCAGATCAACCTACCAACAACAACATCCTCGCCTCTTCTTCAGAGTGTAGTCACTCTAAACTTCGTTGATTAATGTTCATGTTTATTACATTTGTATACTTGCACACCTGTACATTTGTGCACTTATACACCTGAAAACTTGTATACAGTAGTCCCCACTTATATGGCAGGTTAGGTTCCAGGTCACTGCTGGAAAGCAGACATTGCCGGATAACAGAATGCCATTTTTTCCACTTAGAAATGCATATAAATGTCAGATAAGAAGTTTACACTAACATCTATTAAGTTACAATGCAACTAGGCATTAAAAACAATAAAAAGTAAAATACATACACAGTACACCCATTATTTACCTTAAAATATTTATAGTCCTAATGTAGGGTGAGAGGTGAGTTTTATTTGTAGTAAGTCAGGTTTGGGAGGTATGATAGCCAGCCAGGCCAGGTCAGCCAACCCCACCCATACGTAATATGCTATGACATTTAATTAAACCTCCCCAGAGCGATAAAATACATATACATTACATTCATTAATTACCTTAGAATATTTGTAGTCTTAACCCTTTCAGGGTCGAGAGGCCCTCTACTAAACTCGTTCTCAGGGTTGAAAATTTTTTTGGAAAAAAAAAATTATTTTTTCCTTTGAAATGATAGAGAATCTTTACCCAATCATAATGACACCAAAAGTATGAAATTTGATGGAAAACTTAGGGAATTATGCTCTCGCGAAGTTAGCGGTGTCGATGATGTTGACGCATCGGCGATTTCACCCACTTTGAGCCCTGTTTTCAGCCAATTTCAGTATACTAGTTGACAACAATCATATCTATTTCACTAGAACTTCATTTTTTCTATCGAATGAGTACAAGAAACCACCCATTTACCGATTTCAAGTATCCAATAAAGTGGTCAGAAATTGGCAATTTTGCCAATTTCACACAATGTAATAATTTTGGTAGAATTACCGACAGTATGTAAAGTAAAAGGACACAAGTGCAACTAATGTGACATTTTTATTGTGGCAACGATTTGCTTTCCAAGAGCTTTGTCAAGCCGTTACAAACAGTACATTTACACAGAGGGTATATATAGGCTCAGAGTGAGATGCAATTCTAGTGGTAGTAGTAGTAGTAGTGATATAAGTTGTAGTAGTAGTAGTAGTAGTTACAATATGGTAGAACAATTAAGTCGCACATGAGTAAAAGGATATAAAAGCTATTACTTGGGTAACATAAAAATAGGTTAGACAAATATTTCTGTTGGAGACTGGATAGAGAAGGCATGTTTCACTGTTCGTTCTCTGTAATGTGCTTTGTGTAGTATTAACAGGAGAGAGTATGTGATGACAGTGTTTACTGTTTTCAGGAGGATTCTTGCTAAGACTTCAGAGATGGTGAAGCTGCCCTTGTTTTGTCTAATTGTATTTGAAACAGCGATTAGTAATGATTCAAGGCACTTGCGTCTGCAGAAATTAGTTTCTTTGATCACTAATTGGGCATCCCTGAATTTCACGAGATGATTGGTGGAATTTCGGAGTTGTACACAGGCGTTGTTCAAGTTATCGTTCCTACATGCATAAATGTGTTCATTGAGGCGGGTGTCGAGTTTTCTTGCTGTTTCACCTACATAAATCTTGTCGCAGCCTCCACAGGGTATAGTGTAAACCCCTGCATTGACTGGTTCGTGGTGTTTTGATTTTGTCCTGGTTAGATCTTTTATTGAAGTGCTGGAAGCGATGGCGACTGGTGTTAGAAATATTTGTCTAACCTATTTTTATGTTACTCAAGTAATAGCTTTTGTATCCTTTTACTCATGTGCGAGTTAATTGTTTTACCATATTGTATTACTACTACTACTACTACAACTTACATCATTACCACTACCACTAGTATTGCACCTCACTCTGAGCCTATATATACCCTCTGTGTCCATATACTGTTTGCAATGGCTTGACAAAGCTCCTGGAGAGCGAAACATTGCCACAATAAAAATGTCACATTAGTTGCACTTGTGTCCTTTTACTTTACTTCACACAAATTTCAGAAGATGCCAATTTCCAAATAAGGTTCAGAATAAGCAAGACAGACATTCCTGGCACTAAAATAACACTTTCTCTGTTTATTAGTCATGTCCCCAGGCCCCTCTTACATCTCTCTTGCTTTCCATTTTGAATTTTTATTCTCACAAAAAATAGAAGATTTACTGTTATGCAGACTGACTACTGCATTAGTGTAGAAGTGGTGTAGAAATGGTATAAATAATATCAGTGCACTTGTGAAAGAAAGAATATTAGACTCACCAGTTGACCTGTATTGGATGCTTGGCATGATTTGTTTACTTTGAAAATTTGGTAAAAATCGAACATTTCTGCTACTTTGAGCTCAATTTCAAGGTACTTTTCATTATGAAACCAATCAAAATCATTTCAATTTCTGTAATATGTCTTCCATTCTATAAAATGAGACCAGGAAAACTAGAATACAACCATAAATACCATACGAAAATACACTGCAAAGTCGCTGTTTTAAACCAAAAACACGGTCGGAGCTTTTTTTTGCTCATTATGCACTGTGTGCTGCAGGATTTTTTTTATACCATACACACTGACCACATAGACCCATTCTTTCATATGTAGGCCTACTAGCTTTCTCTCACTAGATTTGAAGGCGCTAGAATTTA